TAACCGGTTAAACATATTGTTTAATTGGTTAACCAATTTAAGGGGAGCACAGGAAGGGGCTGCACTGGTTGAACTTGATCAGCCTCTGCCTGCGGGCCATGGCATCCTGCTGCTGTCCGAGAACATATGAATCAATAAAACTTCAAGCCTATGCCAAAAGAAAAAGAAACAAAGAATATGCCTTCCTTCCAGAAAGGTCCAAATGTTTCCAGTCCAGTGGATCTCATTGATGTTGATGGCTGTGGGAATTGATCATGTTCACCATGATGGAGTTGGGTGAAAGGTAGAACAAGAGGAACTCAGTCTTCTGCACTGAGACATAATATTTTTTGTCTGCCCATGTGCAAGTAGGTGCCACTGACACAGGTTTGCCAAATGGTTCTTGTCAGGTCTGGATTGTCTAGATTAATGGTTGGGCAATCTTTGAGGGAGAGGATGATGAATGGGGTATGTCAAGGAGATGGTGGTGGATGTCCTTGACTTTCCCTAGTGATATTCGCCTTTTCTAGTCAATGGGAGCTGTGGAAAGCGGCAGACTGGCCTATGCTACTTCCACTAGGTCCTCTTGGATGGAACAGGTGAACCACAACCAATGGGAGCTGTAAGGCTCTGTGCCTATGGACACTTAGATTAAAAAATGTGTCTCCCGGCTCTGCCAGTGGCTTACCTGAGCAGGCTCGCAACTCAGCTTTGAAAACTCCTGACCTGGACTGTTGAATTCCAGCAATACTGATTCATTTGGTGCCATTGACAGTACCAGGAGGGATGGAGATCTTGTCCATTTTGGTTGCTGTGGTGCCTTATGAGGTATAGATGACAGTATTAATGTAGGATCATGTATTGGCAACATCTTTTTAGAGAAGTGCTTATTATTGTCCTTTTCCTTGGGTGCTGTTGACTTGATGCCTATGCCCATTGGGTCTATGGGCTTGTCAGTTGTGCTTGATGCTTCGGTCTTATGAACTGTGGGTACTGGTCTGAGAAGGTATTTGTTCTGTCAGCATAAAGTGTGCCAGAGATTATTTGCAGCTATCTAAGGGCTCACTGTAGGGACTTCCCACTCTTGTTTTAATGATCTGCGAGAGGGGTCAGTGGCTTGTTTCTTCAGTCCACAGCCATTAGATGTTTAGGGCTGAGGAGATGATTCACATTTGCCAGGTAACTTTTGGTGTGGATCCAGAGAGCCAACTCCATGAAGATAATCTTCTCTGAGTAATTTGTTCTTATGAGTCTGGGGTTTGAGTTCACAGAGTCCATACTTTTGTTGTGGCCTTTCCTGAAGCAGTGAATGCACTGGGAATGCTTGTCTGCAACAGGGATCACAACTTTGCAAGAGAGGCGCTAGAAGCCTGGTGAACTGGGCATCCCACTGGAGAAGGGTTCTCTACAAAATAAAAATAATGGGGAAAAATAGTCTTAAATTTTTTCTTTAAGGGAGAAAAGATAAGAAAAAGGGGGAAATTATGACTAGAATTACAATTAGGAGCTAGACGTAATGACCCTGATGACTGTGAATAGCTCTGTCTAGCCAGGGGAAGTTGAGAAGGATCAGAAGGGGATTAGCGTGCATGTCTGACTTGCCTTGTGGTAGAACATGAGGGGAGACAGCACATGTGGCATGCTAATGGACGCTGCTACTTAAGTTCGCCAGTCAGCAGGGCAAGCATGAAAGCACTCCTACAATGGAATACCTCCATAGCGACACATGTCAAAGACCCATTGTTACAGCATAAGGTGAGTAATTTCTTTATACTTCATCCACACCCAACTTCACTGCACCTTTCAGTTAGTCAACAAGGAGACATCTTGATACAAAGATGTCCAGGACATTTTGATTTACAATAGATAAGTCTCTACAAGAAGAGTTTTATGTGGCTAAGTAGGAAAAAAATATCACTGTCTGAGCGGAACAGTGTTCCCTCTCCCTTTTGGAGTTTGATGTTCCTATGATTTTGGAACATCAGACTTTCATTAGAGATTAGTAGTCTGTTAGCTCTGTAAGAGTTCACCTTGCAAATGTAAAAGCTTACCATCCACCGATACATCCATGCTATTTTATCATACCTTACAGTGACTAGGATCCTTGAGGGCTTAATGCTTGTGTTCTCATCAATATATGTGAATATCCTTGCTCCTGGGATCTGAATGTGGTTTTAGGTGGGTTGATTTTGGGTGTGAGACTGAGAAGAGAGGGTTTGGCTTTTGAACCATTAGCATCATGGTCTTTACACTGTCTATGAAAATATCATTCTTAGTCGTGATTATATCAGTTTACAGGAAAAATACAAACATTCATGGCTGACCCACTATAAACTGTTTTTCACAAGGATAGGGTATCTGTTAGACCTCCAAAACTGTTCACATAAATGGTTTTTCTTTTACTCTAGTGGCGGTAATACTCTCTGAACATACTAAGAGCAGTATCTTTCTACCTAGATAGAATTAAAACAGTTAAGGGGAACCTTTTTTGGTTGTGGGCCCACTGATCCACACACAAATCATTCAGGGACCTCTCACAAGTGAAAAGCAGGGCGACTGGAGCACCAGCACAGGTTCCTCAATGCTGAAGGGGGGACCCTGAGCCTTGGGGGTTGGAATCAGACAAGCTGAGGGCTGCATCTGGCTCTCCAGGCCTTAGGTTTCCCACCTTTGTATTAAAGACTTCAGGATCTCACCTAGATTGTTTATTGCCTTTGCAGAAGAGATTCCAGGACAGGCTATGTGATCCAAAGATTATCTAAATAGATATCTGATTTTATTAACATATTATTGGTTAGCTAGATTAGAGTCTCTTGGTCAAGTTAAAACTCACTCCACAAAGGCTCCTACAGGTTCTTTTAGAAATGTCCTTGTTTCTGAAACTTGTAGAGAAGCCAACTGGAGTTCTGTGCATGCATTCCTTAGTCATTATTCCCCTGTTCAGATAAATAGAACATTTTGGCAGAGCTATATTACCATTGCTATTTAAATAGATTATGAGCATTCACATCTTAGCATCAGGTAACCATTCGAAAGTCACCAAGAGTGGAAAGAAAGTAAATGCGTGTATGTGTTGGAGGGGGGGAGGGAAGGGGAGAGTGAGTGGGTGTAGACAAACAAGATGCCTTACGTAACTCTGGTTCTTTGACGTGTGTTATTCATACATATCCTGTGATCTACCCTCCTTCCCTACTGGCACAGAGTTTTCACACCCACGTTTTGTTTTGGCTGAGGAAGTAAAAGGCAGTTGTCCCTTTCCTGTCCTTTTATGCTGTTGGGTATGGGGGCTGAGGCACACAGGGTGTAGGCATGAACCAGTGGAGGCTGCTGGCTAAAAGATCCCCATATGCACCCATGGCAATACATATGGACACCACATCTCAAAGAACCACAATTATTGTAAGGTAAATAATCTCTTTTTCCTGTAACAAAGGGATGTGAAGAAAAAAAATTGTCATCTTGGCCCATCTTAAAATAATAAGAACAAACCTCAAATTATATTACCTACTATAGAAAAATCAAGCAATGTACAAACTGCATTAAGATTTTTAAATGCTGTTCTAACCCAAAGGAGAATTTTGCAAGTTATTTTTTTACTTCTGTTAAAAAGGAAATCCTGATGCAGCCGTACTTGTGGAGGCACTACTAGCCGAACATGCTATTGCTGTACCATAGTAAGGCTAAAGGTATACCACTGGCTGTGAATTTGGAGTCATTTAGAGACAGGATCCCAGGGATAAACCCTATCTAAATTCCCTCAATGAGGAGTTTACTTATCAAATTACTCTATATCCCACTTGCATAATTATATTGCCTTGAAAATTCCACTACAGAGGCTGGGCTTGGGGGAGAGTGGGGAGGAGAACACGCTTTGATATGGAAATGTCAGTTAAGCCATTTTAGAACTATTGTCAGATTGTACTCATCTTTGTGAGTATTCTTATTCTTCTGTGAACATCCCATTGAGATTAATGATCATCTTCACACCTTTGCAATCCTTTTGTGTTGTAGAGTGAACCTCCTTCACTCTAACCTAGCCCCCCAAATTGGAGTACAAACTTTGGAGCTTCCCTCCATTCTCTTTTACTGATTGTAGGTGGTATATATGCTCCTTATTGTCCCCCTCGTCCTTCTTCCAAGTTACTCCAATTCTACTTCCTACTTACTGGAGGTAGGAAGGGACCATGAGGGGAGAAGAACTAGTAGTTGGATGGCAACAAGGTATTCTCAGGAAGCATTTGTACTCCCCCATTACAGGTGCCCTGCATCCATTACCCCCTCACTATCGCCACTTACTGAAAAAACAAGGGAAGTTTATAATTCAAGTTTATCAAATTAAGGTTGGCCTGTAGTGCCTTAGAACCTTCCAATGTGTCAAAATACACCTGTACTTAAATCTTTTAAATTCAGGGTTACAGTACGCACTGCCCCACCCTGAAACCTGGATTGTGCCCAGTTTGAGCCCCGATCTCCCCAGCCATATGTTGTAGCACTCTGTCCTTCCAGAGGATTTGAAGCATTGTGGCAACATAGAATGTGGATATAGTAGGAGAAACTATCTGCACTAAATAACAAAATTGAGGGCAGGTTTAATGAACAGCAGCTATCTCACACACAACTACTTTAACCTACTCTGCTTAAACCATCCCAGAGTTGCCAGATCTTATAACTTGGCCCTTGACCTAAAGATTATTTTCCCCTATTAAGTTTGCTATCAGATTACTATAAATAAATATCCAAGCAAGATGACTGTTGTGAGCGTCTACTTGCATAACCCATATGACTCAAAACTTGTGATAGTAAATCTGTTTAAGATAATTTGCCCTTTTTTGGGTTATGCAGATGTAAATATACACAACTAATATGAAAATGTGCATTAATTTCAGGTTTTTAGACTAATTTTCTAAAAATGTAGGTATCTGATTGCAGTCTTGTTATTCTGAGATGTTGAATGAATATTGCTAATCTTTTTGAATACATGTAAAATTCAGAATAAAGTATGCTGTTTTATTCTTTCACAGATGCTTATGAAACAGCTAAGATGTTGTGTGAGCAGTACTATCTGGTTGCACCAGAGTTGGAAGTTGAAGAATTCAATGGTAATAGGAAGTTTATTTTATTTTTAAGTGCTGTAGGAAATTCTGGAGGGAATGGGAAAATAAAATATTAGCAAATAGAAAAAGTATACTTGCTAACTTGTTTAGTCCAGAGATAAGTTTTTAAATTATTAATTTCTGCAGGACACCGATCATATAGAGAGAGGTGTCTTTCCTTGCCCTCCTAATTATTTGGCCTTCTAAGGCAATAAAAATATTAATTAGTTATATAAAACTACTCCAGAGGTAAGAGCACCCTAACATGCAGGAACATTTGTAGAACCCTGTGTGGATGCACAATTTTGTATCTGCATCTGTATCTGCAAAAACAAGCACCACACATCTACATCTGTGGATGTGGATACCTGCAGATATAAAGCAGTATCCATGGATTTGCAGGGCTCTAAGTAAGGATGTTAAATATTGGTTAATTTACTAGTTGAATAGTTAATGGAATTTCCATCGTCTGCTCGACTAGTCGATAGGCACTTCCGCATTCCTCCTTTGAAATGTACAAGAGACCTTAGAGGTCTCTTGTACATTTCAAAGGAGGAATGTGGAACTCCACGTGCATCCCTGGGCCAGCAGGAAGTCCCGCTGACTCTGGGCTACACAAGAGCGCTTACCATTTGAAATGTACAAGAGCCCCAGGGGCTCTTGTACATTTCAAAGTGGAAGTACCCACGTGGAGCCCAGAGGCAGTGGGATTTCCCGCTGGCCCCGGGCTGCATGCAGAGTGCCAACTTTGAAATATACAAGAGTCCCCAGTGGGGGCTCTTGTGAATTTCAAAATGGAAGTGCCTGCATGGAGCCCGGGATCTATCAGAGGCAGCAAGGAGTGGGGAATCGACTAGTTGACTAGTCCTTAACATCCCTAATGTAGAACAGAGATAAGGAGAATGAAGTGGGTGTCGTCAATACCCATGGCTTGACTACCTGATGAGCGTTTGATATCTGATAGTCGACTAGTCCCTAACATCCTTCTCTCTAAGCATTTGTTCAGTATGTGATACTGAGGGAAAAGAGCTCACGCTGAATCAGATATTGCTTCTAGTAGCTGCCTTTGCTTTCCTTAGCATTATCTTTTGTAGGTAATTACCAGGCAAAATTCTACTTACCTTCTGATATAACTGCATTCTGTATTTAACTCAGAAGTATGTTTTCAAGATCCGCTATTACATGCTTGGAAAGAGAGAGCATAGTTTTGAAGTTGACTTTGTTACAAATTATGATTACTACAGTCGATGGAGTGAATTGTGATACCACATGGGGAATATTTTGAAAAAAGCTTCTTAACTAATGATTTATTTATTTCTAGCTAAAGCTCCAAACAAGACTATTCAAGTAGTCTATGTACCCTCACATCTGTTTCATATGCTGTTTGAGTTGTTCAAGGTAGGTAAGATTTATTAATACTCGAATTGTAGTAGTCATTGTAATTGTATGTTGTAGTTAAGGTTCTTCTTAGCCAGAATATTTGCAAAAATCATTGTTCCTGATGTTTTCATGCTTTTTGTTTTTGAAACTTTGGGGTGATGTGATCAAAGTTAGTCCTTGAGCCCTTCCCTAATGTGCACTCTTTAAACATTCATTTACTCTCCAGAAATGGTTGTACTCTCTTCTGCGTTTGGTTAACTCAAAATAACTTGTGATAAAATTTCTAACACTGACCATGGTGCAGTACAAGACCTTATTTTGCTCAGGCTTTTTGTTTTATTGGATGGAAAAGGCTTGGATATTTAAGTGGGTGCTAGCGTTCATCTTGAGAGATGTTAGTTTTCTTTTTGAATAGTGACTTGAAAAAAATTGTTTACTAATTTTCAGAATACAGGCAGTCCCCGGGTTACGTACAATATAGGGACTGTAGGTTTGTTCTTAAGTTGAATCTGTATGTAAGTCGGAACTGGCGTCAGCCACTGCTGAAACTGATCAGTTTCAACTGCGGCTGAATCTGGATGCCAGTTCTGACTTACATACAGATACAACTTAAGAAACCCAGGCGTCCCCAAGTCAGCTGCTGCTGAAACTGATCAGCGGCTGATTCCAGGAAGCCTGGGGCAGAGCAGCTGGGGTGCTGCTGGGTTGCTCCAGTAGCTGAAACTGACCAGCAGCGGCTGAATCAGGACGCCTGGGGCAGAGCAGCTGGGGTGCTGCTGGGTTGGTCCGGAGCGGCGCTGCGGGACCAACCCGGCAGCCCCCAGCTGCTCTACCCCAGGGGTAGGCAAGAAAAGCCTGAT